CCCGGCAAGGACAGCGACAATCCGGACCCCGAGAAGGCGAGCGCGGCTTGGCCGCGAGCCCCCCAGCTCCGCCCGGAGCTCTCGGCCCGCGCCGCCCATTGGCTGCCGGGCCCCGAGCCTGCGTCCGGCTCGGCCAATCAGCGGCGAGAAGCGAGGTTTGGAAACTTTTTCCCAGGCCACCGGCTCGGCGTGGCCAAGCGGCTGCGGCGGCTGTGGCGGCGGCGGCGCTGGGCGGGAGGGGACTTGGGAGGCGCCAGCTGCTGGGCCGGGTGGCCCGGAGATGCCGCTCCCGGCACATTCGGCCACACACTGCAAGAAAAGCCACCCGCCTCTCTCACACCGGTTCTCCAAGCCAGAAAGGACAAAGAGTGGACAGAGAACCCCAGGCTTGGGGAGTAGCTGGTGTCCGATTGCACTTCAAACTAACCTACCTCAGTCTAGCCTTGCCTAAACCAACCCCACAGAGACGAGTGGCATAGAAAATAGCAAACTTCCGGCTAGCTTCCCTTCCACTGTCCTTCCCTTCCCTGGTCCTTTCTGCTTCAAACCCCAAATAGAATCTTAAACATCTTGTGCTTCCGAGGCAGCACAACTTAGTATGCGAAAACGTGACTGAATCCTAGTCCTGCCCCTATTTAGCTGCGTGATTTGGGACAAGGTATTTAACTGCTCTGTGTCTCAGTTCCCTAGTGGATAAAATGGTTTTTTTCAGAGGGCTAAGTTAGCACTTGTAAAACGTTTGCACAGTGCTTTGTACATAGTGTGTACGCTATATAGTGTGTGTCTCAGACACAATAACTTCTCTTTGCTGTTGAAGGTGCTTTTGTTTGCTTGTTTGGTTTTTGAGATAATAGTCCAGGCTGGCTCCTTATCTTCCTGTGTGACTGAATATGACCTTGAACTTTTGGTCCTCCTGCCTCCACTTCCCAAGTGCTGGGATTTGTGTGCTACCTACCCCTAAGGGTTTTATATGGAGCTGGGGATAGAACCAAGGGCTTTGAGCATGCTTGGCAAGTATCACCACGGAACTGTATCTCAGCATTCTTTTTGGGTTTTTGAAAGTTTTGCCGTGCAGCCCAGGCTAGCCTCAAACTCCTGATCCCACCTCCCCACTCTCACCTCCATTTTGCTGGGATCACAGTCCCACCGCTAAGAACTTGTTGCTATAAGTGACCCTAATTGTTCATTAGCATATTATTGAGTACTGTTGGGCACAAGACACTCTTAGAACCCAGTGAATAAGCCAAAGAATTTGTTCTCAAAGGAATTTTTTTGTTGTTTCATTTTTGTTTTGAGACAGAATCTTACTGTATAGCCCTGGTTGGCCTGAACTCACTATGTAGACCAGTCTGACCTTGAACTCACAGAGATCCACTTGCCCCTGCCTCCCAAGTGCTGAAGATTAAAGGCATAACCACCATACCCAGCTAGGGCTTATATTTGTAAGGACATTAATATAGTAAACAGATATAGACAGTAATTTCAGATGCTAAGTGCTACTGGTTTTGATACAGAGAGGCTGGTGGTCACAGAAAGGCACATTTATCTTTTGGGGGTAGTGCTGGGGATCAAATTGAGGGCCTAGGGCATGTGAGGCAAGTGCTATCCCATTGTTGTTTAAAAGATGAGCAATAAAATTGTTTATGAGAAATAAAGATACAGAGTCTTTTGATTAATAGAGAACAAATCAAGCTGCAAAGATGGCTGGAATTGTGTTCTTTCCCATGCGCTACACAAGGAATCTCCCCTCGACCCGCTATGGTTAGGGTGAACTTTCTCTAATTTTACTTTGATTCCTTGCTAGTTCCTAAAAAAAAAAAAAACCCTCAAAGACACAAAACAGAATCCTACCATGTACATGAACAAACTTAAGTACCAAAATGTTTTTCAGGAAAATTCCAAATACCAGTCATTTACATACTATGTGACAACATTTTCCTTTCACCTTCAGAATTTTATTTTACCCACACCACTCTGTGAGGTTTCTTGGCAGAGAATAATAACCCCAACTTATAAACTGAGGCACATAGTAGCGATGTATTGCGTCTGTCTAAATGATATCAGTCGAGTCATTTTCTACTTGGTTAGCAATTTTCAAATTTTTCATAAGGAAAAAGTGAAAAACACTGAAATAGTTATTGTTAAAGTCTCATTCAGGGAGAGATTATGGTGCGTGTCACTTGACACCCTGCGTGGTGTGTGCGGGCACCCTGGGGTCTCCGCCACACCTGGCTAATCCCAGCGTGAGTCTGGCTGCAGGCGATGTGGGGAGCGCGCCTGGGCTCCCGGGCGCACTCACTCTGGATGTGGCCCAGGGTCAGGTGTACGTGCACTCTCCCGCCGTGGTTCTGGTCCCGCTGGCTAGCTAGCGGCTGGCGGGCCTGGCCGGCTGCGCCTCTCTGGAGACGGCAGGTGTAAAGACTTCTCTGATGCTGGCTGTAGCTGATAGCTACACACTTCTCTGGAGCGGAGAGCTTCTTCTGCTACTAGAGTATTATCTAGTCGGGATCCCGCCTCTATTACACCCTTGTGCCCTTCCTCAGGATTGCGGAGTCCTGGCCAGTGAACTCCACAGGGAAGAAACACGGAGGCGGCGAAAGCTAGGATATCCGTGGGTCGGTAACGGAGAGTGCTGCTCTCCGGTGAGATCAGGTCGCCGGTAGTAAGACACAGGACTCAAGGCACGGCTTAGTCTGTGTTTACTGCTTTATTGTCCTTGCTGTCCAGCGCTCTGCTGATCCAGCTTTCTGGGACCCAGTCTCTCACCTGATCTCCCAGTCTCTGGCCTGATCTCCGACTATTAAGAGAAGACTAGCATATTTATATACCATGGGGGTAGTGGTAAAAGCTTTTAGATACTTTGTGAGATATTCTATTTACATGTGGAAGTGGGTTTCTGCTAGACTATTGTCCACCTGTAAAAACCACACACAGGAAGGCATGGTATGCATAGAGCCAAAGGCCATGTTTATGTCAAGGCATCTGTGGCGGCCACTTCAAAGGGAGAGACAGGAAAGATGCCAGAAAGCACCTTGCTATGAAAAGGAGCCCGCAGCACATTCCCCGAGCTGCATGAGCTGTCCGGTGTGAAGGGGCTTCGACTTTTGCATAACAGAGGTCTCCCAACAAGAGATGGCTCAGTGGTTAAGAGCACCTTATAGTTCCTACAGAAGCCCCGAGTTCAGTCCCCAGCACCCACATCAGGCAGCTCACAACTGCCTGTAACTCCAGATCCAGGGGGACCCGATACCTCTGGCCTCAGCAGGCACCTGCACTCATTATACCCTAATGCAGACATATACACATACACATAATTAAGGATAAAATAAATCTTTTAAAGTCTCATTCAGGAACAGAAATTTTGGGAAATGTGTAAAATTGCAAAAACAAAAATTTTTGGTATACTTTAACCTTCCCCCAAATAGTGTTGATTGAACTTAAGGCCTCATGCATGCTACTGAAGTACTCGACCACTGAGCTATAACTACAGCCTCCTTTTTCTTTTGAGACAGTCTTCCTAAGTTGCTGAGGCTGGCCCTGAACTCACCTTGTAGCCCAGGTTGACCTTAAATCCTCCTTAGATAACTAAGCCTCTCAAGAAGGCCTGGACCACCATGCTTGGCCTCTTCTTTCTCTCTTCTTAAATTCAATTTGCTTTCTTTGTTGCTTTTGAAATCTGAATAAACAGTTCAGTTTCTCCTCTTAGGTCCTTCCCTCACAATTTTTCAATTTTAAACACTAAACCTTTAGTAGTAGATTAGATCATTGAGGAGCTGGTTCAAATGCAAAGTATCCACTGAAATACCAAAAATAAATCATGATTATCTTTGTTTCATAAACATGAAGAGTATTTGGGTAAAGAAAAATTTGATAACTTTTTTTTTCTTTTTTGTTGTTGTTAGAGACAGGGCCTGATTATGTAGCTCAGGCTGGCCTCAAACTCATGAACTTCCTGCCTCAGTACCCTGAGTGCTTAAGATTAATTTGAAAATACTGTATATGGACTGGAGAGATGGCTCAGTGGTTAAGAACACTGATTGTTCTTGCAGAAGACCTGGGTTTGAACCCCAGCACCCATATGGCAGCTAACAACTGTCCATAACTCCAGTTCCAAGGGATCCGACAGCCTCTTCTGTCCTCTGTGGGCATTGCACAACACGGGTGTACTCACCTACATGCAGGCAATACACACATACACATAAAATAAAAAAAATAAAGGGGCTGGAGAGATGGCTCAGCGGTTAAGAGCACTGACTGCTTTTGCAGAGGACCCGATTTCAATTCCCAGCACCCACATGGCAGCTACTAACCATCCTTGAACTCCAGTTCCAGGGGAATCCGAAGCCCGACCTCCACGACATTGCACGACACAGGTGCACTCACATACATGCAGGCAATACACTCATACACATAAAAATAAGTATTTTAAAAACTAATAATACTGTGTGTGTGTGTGTGTGTGTGTGTGTGTATGCACCTCTGTGCATGCACACTCCAGGGATCAGAGGACAATCTCAGGTGTTGGACTGTGCCTTCTACTTGAGGCAGGGTCTCCCTTGTTCACTGTTGCTTACCCCAGGCTAGCTGTAGCCTGGCGATTCTCCTGTCTCTGCCTCTTATCACTCTGTAGGGGTGCTCTGGAATTAGAATGTCTACTGCACTTGGCGCCAGCAGAGGACAGACAAGGCTATTGGATCTCCTGGACTGGAGTTACAGAGGACAGTTGTTACGGACAGCTGCCATGTGGGTACTGGGATTCGAACCCCGGTCTTCTGCAAGGACAGTCAGTGTTCTTAACTGCTGAGCTATCTCTCCAACCCCTTGGTTTGCTTTATTGATTGCACTTCCCTGTTGAACCTAGTACACCTCTGAATTGCAAAAATGCCAAGCAAAGTAAAAAAAGTTTCTGCCCTCTTAGGTTGTGTCTAAAACCTGTTTAAATAGCAATTAAACATCCAAAATTATTTTATTTCCTTTTAATATCTTTAGTTAATATTGTCAGTCTTCAGAAATAACTAGAATAGAAAAGAAAATGAGGGAAAATAAACACCCACAAAGAGTAACTTGTTACTCATACTTGTTTGAGAGGTTGGAAACCAAATAGCAACTGGATTGCTTTTTTCACCTGTTTTAATTCCTGCCTG